CTTCACTCCTATCTATGACCAACTGAGGCAATGAGCTACCCATATGGGCATCTCTCCTACCAATCATTATACCGTGAATCACTGATATATAATGTTTATTTTTAGTATACTGAATGTTCATTTTAGTACATTGAATTTTAATTTTTAGTATATTGAATGTTTATTTTTTGGTATACTATCTAAAAATGACCATTCAATACATTAATAATGAACATTCATTCAGTATACTAAAAATGAATATTTATCCGTGGTTCACAACTAAAAAAAAAAAAAAAAAAAAAAAAAAAAAACCTCCATTTGTGTCATTATATTGTTGGGAATGCTGTAACGATTTTTTTTTTCTTTTTTATTTTATTGGAAGATGATAACTCAATTCAAACTGGACGGTACTACTGCAACAGCAATGTAGATCACATATTTTAAACAAACAAATAAAATGGACCCAACACGAATTAATGATGTAGATTGAAGAACACTCTGCAACATATTGATGTAGATTGCATGTAGTAGCACTGTAGCAATCATATCATTATTGTCTCAGAACGTACAAACGACATTATTAATCCTTAATGATTATTATTATTATTATTTTTAAAGGCCACTAAATCAGATAACACACTGCACGTACTATCACACTAATAAGTAATAATCCTAATTAATTAATTAAGGATACTTATTAAGTGATAATTACTTGGCTAGAAAACCGGCGAACCCACCGGAGACGCCATCAGATTATTAAGGATGCTATTCCAGTAACGGCTGTTGTCTTCCACGTCGGCCGTGCCGCAGTTTCCGACGACATTGTTGTCGTCTAAGTATCCGGTGAAGGTTTCCGGTGAAAGTTCCGTGAACCCATGAGTGAAGGTTGGGAGCTCCGATAAGGGATCCATGGTAACATGCGGGATTATGTCGTCGCCGGTGGTGTTAGGGTTACCTATATTCGAAGAACTTTCGTGGTCGGAAAAGTTTAAGTTTTGGTCGGAAAAGTTTAAGTTTTGGTCGGAAAAGTTTAAGGTTGTCGGAGATTGATGTGGAGTTGCGTTTGAGAGGAACGCGCCGTCGTGTACATGGGATAATGAAACCCTCGTCCTCGGCGGCTTGGTCCACGTTTCTTGCCAAGCTTTTAGCACGTCGAGAGACGGCGGGACTTTGGGCGGCGGCGGCGGCGGCTGCTTGTGGAGGAGGAAGTGGTGAGGTGAGATAAGAGAGGAACTGATGAACTTAGAGTGGCGGACGAGGCGAGCTTCGGCTTCCAGTCGGGCGGTCTCCCACTGGGCCATGTGGCTGAGATTGGCGGCGGAGCCGAAGGAGGAGTTCATCTTCGGCCTATGCGTCATTGGATCAATGCCCATCTTACTTAGTTTCTTCTTCAAATGGGTATTCCAGTAGTTCTTTATCTCATTATCTGTTCTCTTTGGCAGGTGAGCTGCAATGGCTGACCATCTGTACTCAACAAAAATTCAGAATTTCTCACGTTAGTAAACAAACCTTAATATCATGTTTACATGATTGTTGCTCTGTCGGGCTGGGATGTGAGACTTTTAGGATTGGGGATTCAAACTTTTGGGAGAAAGTTTACATGATTGTGGGGTGATATATTGATTGTTGACTTGGTAACAACTTTCAAGTTGGACTCTAATAGGAGCAACCTATTGACTTTATTGATGTGAGTCAGTCAATTATAGACTTTAACCTGATTAACCTAATTTACCATATTATGATTCTTTGCCGATTATAACCACAAGGCAGGTTTATCTAGTCCTTCCCTTGTCAAAGGGGCAACCCCAGCCAAATTGGTTTGGTTGTTGACGTAGCTTGGTAACCATAATGTTCCTAATTTTCATATGGGAGCAGCCTACTATTAACTTATTAACCTTCCTAGTATGGGTGGGTTAGAAATAAGTAACATAAGCTGATTTACCTCCTTATGATCATTTATCAGTTAGGGTCATAAGGCGGGAGTTACCAAATGCACACCCTCAAGTAAGGTTTGAATATGATTTGTTAATTACCTATTTCCAAGAAGAGCATGGAGCTGAATGATGGATTGTTCTTCTTGCAGACTAAAGTTTCCTCTTTTAATGTCGGGTCTCAAATAGTTAGTCCATCTCAGTCGGCAGCTCTTCCCACATCTTTGCAGCCCTAAACAAACATTTCCAGAAAAATGTTAATGCACCCTAACTAACCATGATCATATCAGAAAGCAAAGAAAGAATAATGTATGTATAGAATACTTACCAGCTTTTGCAGGCAAAGCTCGCCAGCTTCCATGGCCGTACTGCTCAATATAAGCCAACAACTGCTTGTCTTCATCAGGTGTCCATGGCCCTTTCTTCAACCCTACCTTTTCACAGCATGGTGACCTTCCCATTCTGATCAACCCAATAGAGACAGACAGAGAGAGACAAATGTGGGTTATGTTGTAGTATTTGGTGGCAACTGGCAAGGAGACTATGTATAAGAAGAAGAAGAAGAAGTATAAATAGATGAGAGATGAGAAATAATGGCAATATCAATTGCTACGTCTACTTCCATTTTTTGATATTATGGTGCTTTGCTAAATATAGGACAACTCTATTTTAGCTAAATAAAGGAACTCCTATATATTTTAGCAATAGTTATATTGTGGACCAGGTCGGTTCATTATACTACGTATGGTGGATCCTGATCAGATTAAGTGTTTCCGGTTAATATATTATGTATTTTGAATTAATAAATTGTATTTTAATTATAATATAATACATTTTACGAGTATATAAAAAATTATTACATATTAATAAAAAAGTATTACTTCCAACATCTTTGATTAAGTGTTTAAGATGAAACTCAAACTTGTAGCCTTCCGTTTTAAATAGTATCAAGGAATAAGGTTCAAATTGGCCACTGAACGTAACCTGAAAATGCAATTAGGTCACTGAACGAACAAAAAGTGCAATTAGGCCACTGAACACTTCAAAAACGTGCAATTAGGCCACTGAGCTCTCCAAACGTATGCAATTTCACCGGATAGCAGGTTACCATCAATTTTAGCAGGTTACCTGCTTACGTGGCAGCTGAGTTGGCATTTTTAATAATTTTTAAATAATTTTTAATAATTAATTTTAATAATAAATTTTATAAAAAATTGAAAAAAAATAAATAAAAAATAAAATAAAGTCGTTTTTATTTTTTAAATAAAAATTTACTATTAAAATTTATTAAAAATGATTTAAAATTTATTAAAAATGCCAACTCAGCTGCCACGTAAGCATATAACCTGCTAAAATTGAGGGTAACCTGCTATCAGGTGAAATTGCACATTTTTTGAGTGTTCAGTGGCCTAATTGCACTTTTTTTTCATTCACTGACCTAATTGCATTTTCAGGTTACGTTCAGTGGCCAATTTGAACCTTATTCCTAGTATCAATGATTTCATTAAAGCACAAGGTACTTGACACTCTATAATTTTTATTCATTCTTTATTCTTTAATAAAATTAAGATACGTATAATTAAAAAAAAAAAAAAAAAAAAAAAAAAAAGTACGTCTTTGCCCTTAGTCCCCTTTCATTTTCAAAAAATGTACAGTATATTTAGCACAGCTTCGTAAATTGTCAACTGCTCCAGCTAATATTGTACCTTTCCAACCTTAATGCAAATTAAAGTCTAAAATTGGTTGGTTTTTTAAACAACTTTAATTTTGTTTTCATTAAGAGACGTGCGACATTTCGATTGAATGTCTTGGGCAACCACTCAAATTAAAGAGCCAAATTTAATGTCATGTTATTTAAATTTTTTGTTAGATTAAGCATGTGCACATGTCCATTAAAACAATATTACAGGTTCATCAAAATAAACATTAATTGATGATCATTCATCATTTAAACATATTATTTTCTATTTCTTTTTGTATAAAAATAAAATAAATATATTATAAAAAATATATATTTCGCTAAAAATATCTATTGGGTGGCAGCTTGGAGAACTAAGTCCAATATTCTGTCATCAAAATGTGACTTTGAGTGTACACCCAAGTATAACAAAATAAAGTTGCGTCATGGTTACTAGCTATAACTTTCTGCATAGTGGTAAGCATTTAATCCTGACAATTGGTATAAGCTTCTCCCAACAATTGTTGGGAAAGGATATATATCCTGTCATCGAAACGTATGTAGTCAGGGACGAAGCTAGGAATTTTGTTGAGAGGGGACGAAGAAGTAGGGACGGATCCATCAATTTTTTTGAGTGAAGGCGAAACATTAAAACGAAAGAGATAATTTAAAAAAAAAATACCCAAGAAATATAGGTATAATATTGTTGTATATGGGCGAAAAATAAAACACATAGAAATTTTATTAAAAATATTCATAACAAAATACGAAGCATAATTAATTTGATAAAATAATTTGAATAGAGAACAAATTATAAATTACACATCTCATTTTTAATATAAAAGAATGTTATATATATGTGTAGTTTATTAAATATTTAAAAAGCTATCAACAATGTGATTGTGTTGAAGCCAAGACAAATTGTAATTGCAAAATTGTGATAATACCAACAAAAGATTCCAACTCTAAACCTTCATTATAATCAATTATATGCTTTGCCAGCTAATCTATTTCTCTTCTTATTAACATTTATCTATTTCTTGATATTAATACTAAAATGTATACTATATATATGGGATGGGGTGGGGCGACTCCTGCCCTTTGGCTCCGTCCATGTATGTAGCAACCGCCCAACATTTAATAAATAGATTACTTTTTAGCGGACGAATGAATTTTAGTCTCCGGTCAAAAATTTTTCTCTCTGTAACTCTATTTCAAAATTTCCAAGGTGGACGGTTGAATGATTACCTTTCTTGTTTAGGATGAAAAAAATTAAAAAAAAATTAAAAAAAAAAATCACTGGCAATTCCAGCAGTAAATAAGATATATGCATGCAGGACGTATGATATTTAATTTACTGGCTTACTGCATCAGATCAGGTACAACAAATTAGGAATATTATTAAAAATAGA